CCCCCCCCCCCCCCCCCCCCCCGGAAGGGGGAACCCCCCGGGGGGGGGGGGGGAGATGCTAGGAAGGGACCATCCTGGCTCTCTCCCTCTGCCTCCCACCCTCCAGCTTCAGGCGCTGCTGCCGCTTTCTGGAAGGTCCTACCACCTGCCTGGGAAAGTGGCACCAGGCATCGTCTCTCTCACACAGGGGACCATGCCCCCCCCCCCCCCAGGCCGGCCGTGGCAGGGCCCCCCCCCAGGGTCCTTCCCCTCCCCCGGGGGGGGGGGAGGGGGCTGTTGGGGGGGGGGGGGCATGGAAAGCATGGGAGAGCTTGATCCAGCCAACACACACGTGCGTCCGTGCATGAAAGCAATGGAAAGAGCCCCCCCCCACACACTCCTATTTATTTTATTTATGTGCCACTGAGGTGAGAGCCAACTCTGGGTGGCTTACGGAATAAGAAAAAGTAAAAATACAAAAGACTTACAATTGGGAAAAATTAAATAAGAAGCTAAAACCGAAGAGGTCAGGTGAGGCGGGCGTGGGGACCTTCTCTCTACCCCGTCAGCCGTCCTGAGCCCGGAATGCCCCACCAGGGCCCCGGGCCAACCGCCAGAGCCAAGACTGCCCTGGAAGGCCAGGAGGGTGGGGGCCGACCTTGTCTCCAGAGGGAGAATATTCCAGAAGGTGGAGGCGACCGCAAAAAAGGCGTCTTGTCCTGGGCCCACCAGCCCAAATAGTTTGGACGACAGGATCCAAAGGGAGTGGGGAGGGCCAATTCTATTGGCGGAGGGGGGAGAGGGAGTTCCTCGGATACCCGGCACCCATGCTGCCAGAGGCTTTACTGGTAATGACCAACCCCTTGAGTTGGATCCAGAAGCAAATGAGCAACAGCGGCGTCACTCGCGCCAGGAGGCTCCGCACTGCTGCATTCTGTATCCCCTGCCACTTCTGAATAACCTTCTAGGGCAGCCCCATGTAGAGCATGTTGCAGTGGTCCAGCCAAGAGATGACCGGGGCTTCAGGACCCAGGAGGGAGAGGAGGGACACGGGTCTTTCTCAGGGGCCGGTCTGAGAGGGAGGGGGTCCCCCTGGCAACAGCTGGGGCCTCGCTAGACGTCCTTTCAGGGGTTCCAGAGACTGACCGGGCCCACCTCCTTCGTACCTGATCCAATTTTGATGAGCCCGTTGTGCTGGATGAAGATGGTGTCACTGGTGAGGTTGCCGTGGATGATGGGGGGATTGCAGGAGTGCAGGTAGCTGCGGGGAAAGAGTGCTGAGGGAGCCCTGCACCCGAGGGGCCAGCAGGGCTGAGGAGGGGCCGGGGGGGGGGGGAACCCAGGCCTTACCTGAGAGCTGAGAGGATCTGGGTGCACCAGCGTTTCCACGCCTGTCGGGGGGAGAGCAGGGCGAGAAAGGCCGTCCGTGATGCAGGGGAACCTTTGCCTAGACACCCCCCCCCCTCTATTCCCAGGCTGTTGGCAGTGGGCCCAGCGTGGCAACCGTGCGGGGTCCATCCGCGGCACCGGGGTCCCTGCACCCAGCCTTCTGGAGGGGCTCCCGGGGCAGCCGTCGCAAGCAGTCAAAGCGGGAAGGTGGGTGGGAGTGTCCCCCACCTTGGCATTCATGGCTTTGTGGTTTTTCTTGGTCTTCTTCAGGAACTGCTTCAGGCTCCCTGAGGAGACGTACTCGGTGATGAAGATCACCTGCAAGGGGGGGGGGGGGCGGAGTGGTCGCAGTGGGCACCCCTATTCCCAGGCACCCTTCCCAGCCATCAAACCCCTTCCCAGCCCCTTTCTGGCTCCATGGCGGATGCTGCCGGCCCTCACCCTGCCCACCAGCGGCCTCCTCCTCCCGGGGACTCTCCCGGAGCCCCTTGTCCTGAGCCCAGCCCTCCAGCCCCAGAGGTCAACTCACTTGGGCCTTGCTTTCCTTCACGTCCAGCCAGTATTTGTGCACCTTCACGATGTTGGGATGGTCCACGACCACCAGCTGCTCAAAGGTGGCCTTGATCTTCTCCTGTTGGGCAAGCGGCACTTCAGGGGAAGGGAGCCTCTGCCAGGGCCAGCCAGAGACGGGCGTTCTGGGCACAGGCCCCGCTCCTCCCGTGGACCCCACTCACCTCATGCGCCGTGAAGGCCGCCTTGTCCATGAACTGCAGCTCGTTCCACACCACCTCCACACCTTCCTCCGTATCCATGGCCAGGAAGGTGCTCTGGAGCCCGGGCATGTTGCCTTGGTTCACCTGTGGGCATCGTCCGGCTTCAGCAACCAGGCTGGCCAGAGAACCATCGGGCACCCGCACAACACATGACACACCCTGGCTGAGACAGGGTGCCCACCTCCTGCCCCCCAGCTGTGCCACCACTGGAACAGACTGAGCTTCCAAGGGGAAAGGGGGCCTCCCCCCCCCACCCAGCACCCTTATTGGGATGGCCAAATCAGCCCATTTCCTGGGCTCACACGTGACCCATGTGACCTATAAGCTTAGCACACAGAAGACGTGGAACTTTGGGATGGGCCCTGAACCACCACCAACCCCGACTCCAAGCTCTGCATGCGAAGAACTGTTGCAGCGATCGCCATGGTACTGGCAACGGCCCTCTGGCCGAGCACAGCCCCCTCTCCAGGAGAAAGAGGGCAGAGAGCCGTTCTCCTGGGTCCTCCAAGGGCAGGAGCCTCTGGCTGGGCATCCAGGGAGGGGACCACAGCCAGACACACACACTTTCCAGGAGCTGTTTTAGGAGAGTAGACCCAGGTCCAAATAAGGGTCCCTCCGGAGTGGGTGGCTGCCTGAGGTTGCTACCAGAATTCCCTCCTCTGCCATTCTCTGCCCCTTGATGGACTCCCCTGGGCTGAGGTTGGCATCCAGTGGCTCAGGGGAACCAGGAACAAAGGCAGCCGCTTCCCTCACCCCCTTGGGGCCCATAAGAAACCGGGGTTCAGCAGTAGGACCGCCAGCAAAGGGAGGAAGCAGCGGGCCCTGCCATCTTGTTTTCCTGAGACTGGAGGCTTTGGGGAGGAGGTGCAGCCAAGCGCCAGAGTGGCTTTCTGGCAGCAGCAGCAGGAGGAGGAGGAGGAGGAAGGGGGGGTCTGCACCCCTGAAGAAGCAGGAAGGAAAGGGGAGCGCCTCCTCTGCTTGAACCCCCCTTCCTGGCTCCCTTCTGCCCAGGCAGCCTCCTCTTCCAGGTCTGTCTTTGGGCAGATCACTCAGCTGATTCACCCGCAGGATCTTTACAGCTGGCAGGTAAAATTAGATCCTGGGTTTTAGTGCTGTTTATTTCTCAAGGATAAATTATAGCGTGTATTTTAACATATTTTTCTAGGCATTTTGATTAATTCTATTGATATCGAATTAGCATCTGTGCCTATGTGTTCATCATAAAACAACTAAATAAAGAATACTCAAGAGGTGGGCCCGCGGCCTTCAAGGGTCCTTCACCCCATGCCCAGCCCCACCTTGTCCCACCTGCAAACCCTTCGCCCTCCCCTCCCACCACCTGCGGGGAGAGGCCGGGGGGGGGGCTGCCATCCAAAGGAGAGCATAGCCTTCTGATGAAGATGTTGTCATGGCAACTGCCTGCAAGATCCAGCAGGCCGACCCGGCGACGGTGGTTCTTTTGGCAGCCCAGGGACCACCAGAGAGCTCAGGACACCTTGAGTGGGTGGTTTGTGGACAGGCATCCTGCAAAGGGAGCTGGGCTTCCACGCGGCCTCCCCTTGCAAGAGGTTTCCCAGCGCTTCCCCCCTCCAGGCTAATTGCCCGTTCAAGGTTTCCTGGCGCTGTAAAGTCAGGATGGGAGATAAAACTATTTTGCCAGATCTGCACCTTGCCTGGCAACCACACTCACAGTTTCCGCTTCCTGGGTGAAGGAAGCGGTAGAGGAATGTGGAGATGCCCACCAAGAGACTGGCAGCAGCCCCCGCAAAAGCACCGGCCTCGCCTGGCACGACAGAAACCCAACACCACCCTGGCCAAACTCTCGGGCAGGAGAGGAGGAAATTCTCCCAGGCTTTCCTGGAGGCCAAATCAACTCACGGGGGGGGGGGGGGAGGCTCTGGGGCCTCAAAGGGCTTCGCTCCCTTTCTGGCAAGGCCAAATGGCTGCTCACCCCCCCTGCCCCAAGGCCGCCCCATGAGCAGGAAGGGAGGGGGAGGCCACAGCAAGCAGAACCCAGGAGAGCAGCCCTGGGGGGGGCAGGACGCTTGCCTAAAGGGCCCCCCACCAGGAAAAGGCCCAGCCCTGCCCTCCTCTGATAAGTCTCCAGCCCTCCCCCCTCCCCTCCCCTCCCCTCCCTGGGGAGATAAGCAGCAGCAGCAGTTCAGCCAAGCCCAGGTTCCACCCATCGCAGGGATGGCCTGTAGCCCCTCCCAGGGGGAGGCAGGACAGGAGTCAGCAGATGCCCTTGGCAGCCCTGCCAGGAGGCCCTTCTTTCATCCGTGGCCCCCGAGAGAGCAACGGGGCTCTGCTGCAACCCCTCAGAAAGCCCGAGGCCTCCCCCACTCGGACCCCTCCAGAGAAACCCCATGTGGCTCCCTTGGGGGAAACAGGAGAGGAAGCCCAGGCAGCCCAGAGGCCCCCCCCCCGCAACAAGAGGCGGAGGGGCCCAGGGGGGTCCTTGGCAGAGCCAGTCAGTTCCCCATCAGGGTTCCCGGGCAGCCTGGTGGGCACAGCTCCTGCTGCCCGCCTGAGAGGGGGAAGAGAGACTTGGGTGCCCCTGCAGGCTAAAGCCAGGCTCGGCCCAAGAGTGGCTGAATGAGGCCTGTGGGGCGAGTCGGGCAGGAGGGGAGGCCTGCGGGTGAAGACAAGGGGGGGGGCAGCAAAGATCTCCAAACCACACCCGAGAGAGCTGCCAAGGGAAGCCCAGGAGGGCTCTCCAAAATCCCAGCAGCTGGGAAACAGCTGCAATGTACCTGCAAGGCCGGTTCCTCCACTCTGATCTTCCCTCCCTGAAGTTCTCTGGGAGAGGCCCTAGGAGGACAAAGGGCCAGGGGGTCTCTGGCTGGGGGGGGGCACTGGGAAGAGGACCCCAGCCGGCGCAAGACAAAGGGGGGGGGGCAGGAGCTGCATTGTAGGTAACCGGGCGGCTGCCTGAGGGCAGGACCTCCGCCAGGGAGGGGAAGGAGAAGGACAGGCAGGGTAAGAACACCCCCCCCACACACACACACACACACGCACGCACACAGGGTTGGGATGATATGGTGCAGGAGTCCCACAAGCCCCTCCTCACAAAGGGGCCAAGGGTTCGCCCTGCCCACCCCTCTGCCCAGGGAAGCCTCTGCACTGGCGCCTGAACTCCGGCCAGACTTTGGCTGAATGGCCAAATTCCAGAGGCCCTGAGAGGCCTCTGCTGGGGGGAGGGGAGGCTGAACAGGAGGAGGTCCCTCCTGGGACAATCAGCTGCACTCCTTGCCCCCCCCCCCCACTCCTTCAAAACGGGGCTCCTCCACCAGCAGGGAGAAGGGTGTCCCAGATGGAGGCCTAGGATGCCCCCCCCCCTCTGGGGGAGGAGGAGGGATGGGGAGGGCAGGCTTTGGCCAGCAGTTGGGAAGAGACCCTTGCCCCAGCTGAAGAGTTGCCGCTTCGCCTGCTCCCTACGGCTGGGAGGCGGCGTGGGGGTGGGGGGAGGCTCGCCACTGCTTCCTCCTTTGCCTTTGCTAAGGGCCGGGGCTCTGCCGGCAGACAGAGGCGGCGGTCAGGAGGGAGCCCCGATCGCACCACTGAGAGGCTGCAACTGCCAGGGTCCAGCTGAGCCCCCCCCCCCGCCCCATAATCTCCCCTCAGGCAGCTCCACGCGCCGAGAAAGCGGCACCGGGTGCGGGGAGGGGCGCCTGGCGGTGGAGTAGATGGGCGGGGAGAGGGCTGGGCCGTCTAAACAAGCCTACCTCGCGGGGTGAGCGTTGTGGGCAAAGGCTGGAAAGGGAAACCCCGCGCCCGGTAGGAGCTTCCGAGGACCGGAGAATGTAGTTCGACCGGGTTATAAGTAAACAAACACGTAAAATTGTCCGGTCGGGCAGCGTTCCTGCGGGTGAGGCGCAGGCGCAGGTCATCCAGTAGGACCGCCCGACTCCGGAGCGATACCCGCCTCCGGGACCGGGAGGACGGCCCGGCGGGAGCTTGGCTGCCGACTCCCCCGCTCTTCCGCGGCGCCCCAGCCCGCGGCTACCTGCTCCTTGCGCTTCTGCCAGCGGCCGCACGGGCTCTCCTCCAGCACCTCGCTCTCGTCCTCGCTCTCCTCCTGCGCGGCCGCGCACGCCTGCTCCGTTTCCGTGCGCCCCGACATGTCCCCCGGCGTCGCCCAGGCCGACGGAGGACGAGGCCCGCGCACCGCTGCTCCCGGGAGGCCGCTGGAGGGCCAGCCGCCGCGCCGCGCCTCTTTGCCTCGCGGTCCCCGCTGCGCAGCGCAGCCGGGCGTCACCAAGGGGCGGCGCGGAAGACCGCCCGCCTCCGCCGCCTCCCGAGCTGGTCCGGCTGTGCCTCGGCGGTCGACGGCCGACGTTCGCTGCCCCCGCCGGAGGGCTCCGGTGTTTATGGGCTGGTTGTGGAGGTCCACCCTCGGTTGCTCTTAGGGGACGAGGCTGCCCCTTGCCTTTCATGTAGGGTGGGGTCTCAGTCCCCGAGGCTGCTCAGACCGGGCCTCTGGTGGTGGCCTGCAAGGGCCTCTGTCTCGGGGGTGTTCTGGGCAGCCGACCTGCCCCCACCCGGGAGGCCCTGCTGGGTGGGTCCCTGGGGACAATGGGTCCCTGGGCTTGTCCCCAAAGGCCTGACAAGAAAGGCGGAGGGTCCCTTGGGAGAGGAGAGAAGCTGTCTCGAGATCACCCCCCCAGATCTGAGGAAGCCGCTTTGCTCTGCCTGCAGACAGGAAGGGTCGCGAGGAGAGCCCCGGAGGATCTGAAGCGCGTCTTCTCCAGGACCCCTCCTTCTAATGCAGGGCTGTCAAACTTCTTTCCATTGAGGGCCCCTTCAGGGTTGTGTTTGATCTGGGGGAGGGCAGGGTGGACGTGGCCAGCTCAACCTCACCCGTGTTGGGGGTCTCTGTGGTGGCCTGAGTGCTCTGCCAGTGAAATGGGCTCCGGAGCTCCTTTTTCACTGGCAGGGGGTCACAGGAGTCCGTGGCGGCAGTCGGGAGTCCATTTTCGCTGGCAGAAACACAGCAGGCCAGTCCTTTGCTCTTCCCAGGGGCCGGATCCAGCCCTCAGGCCTTGAGTTTGAGACCCCTGTTCTAATGGAAGGGGGGGGGATGGCAGGCATTGCCAATCCCACCAGCTCATCCTGCAGAACACTCTTCGTGAACGGTTACGGCTCTGGTGGAAACATCTGAAGCCCACCCACCCACCCCACACAACCCCATGGCCGCAGACTGTTTACCTGCCCTTCCCTGGTGATGTTGCCTCAGTTCACAAATGGCTCCTATTTAGCTGGTTGTCCACTAAGCCCCCAAGATCCCTCTCACGGTCCCTGCTATTAAGAAGCTGGTTTCACGCAATCCGTAGGCGTCCTTCGGGTTTCTCTTGCCTCAGTGTAAGACTTTTCTCTACATTGAATTTCGTTTTGTTAGAGAGGGTCCAGGATTCAAGTCTGTCAAAATCCTTTTGGATCCTGAGCATTTTGGGATGGTGGCTATTCCTGTCAGCTTCCTATCTGCAAATTTGGTAATTTCTCCTTCTATTCCCTCACCCGCTTATAAAGATATTGAAGAGAATTTTGATGGGTCGGCCCACTGGCCCTTGTAAAGGCAAGAGCAGCCCAACTGAATGTGGGAGGGGGGGTGCCAGAGGAGCAGGAAGTGGGGTGCAACGGCAGGGTGGGAGGGAAGCCTCCACCCCTTCCACAGCCATTATATGCCCGTGTTCACCCTTTGCCTGGGCTGAAAGGCGGCAAATGGGGGGACACCCCTCCCCAAAATAGTCTGTATTGGGAAGGGGCCACCGCGCCAGCCTTGCGGTTCAGAGGGCAAGCCGACCCCGCCCGCGAGGCTCAGCATCCGGCGCGGGTCGCGGGGGCAGCCCCTTGGCATAGCTGGATTGCCCCTCCGGTCCTGCTGCTTCTGGGGCCCGCTCCGCGCAGCCTCCATTGCTCTCGCAGCCGGGCGGTGAGTGGGCCTCCAGGGCGGCGGCCAGCCCGGGGACAGGGAGGACCCTATGCACAATTGAGCGAAGCTTCCCACCCCTCGCTCGCCGCCGCCTTATTTATTTCTTGGGTTCGTCCCGCAGGAGACGCCCGAGCTGAGCTTCACCGTGGCGGCTCCGGCGCCCGCTCCTTGCCCACCTCGCTAAGCCCAGCGTCCGCAGCAGCCACCAGCCGACCCCAACACGCGGCGGCGTGTGTCGGGCAACGCGGGGCCTCACTAGGCTGCTGCCTCGGCCTCCGGCACCGACGGCTCGCGCTCTCTACCCGCGCAGGCGGGAAGCGCTCGGGCATCCAGCCGCGCAGGGGGGCTGGGATCGCACGCGCGCCGACCCGCGGAGGGAACGGCCAGCCCCGCCGATGGCAAAGGCGGCAGGGTTCAGAGGGGTTGAGTGGGGACGCCCCGCTGCCTTCCTGCCAACCCTGCGAGCTGCCTACCGGCAGTCGGGGCCCCTTTGAAGGCAGCAGGCCCGGAAAGGCCGCAGGCAGCGCGCTCCTGAGTCTCGGGGGTCTCGGGCGCAGCAGTCGCTTCTGCTACTGGCCGGGCAGCTGGCTCGGGCGCGCTGACCCTCAATCCACCGGCCGCTCTTTTCCCCGATCGCCTTACTCTCGCTGTTAGCATCCGCATTATTTTAATTGTGGCTCTTTAGGCGCTTTACAGATGGTTTAAAACACGATAATAAAATGAAGCGTGAATAAAATCGGGCAGAGATGGCAGGACTAAAACCTGGATGGAAAGAAGTGAAAACAACCCAGGTTGGGGCCTTTCAGATCCGTGGTGGTGGGGGGACTCATTCCGGGGAAGAGGCGGAGGGTTCAACGAGCGAGAGGGGCCTTCCCTGCACGTGGGCTGCGGAGTGGGCGCGTGCGGGGAGGGGGAGAGGCTCAGGGTGGAAATTGAGGCAGGAGAAACCCGGCTCTCTCCCCTGAGGCTAAATGCCTGGGAGGGGGGGGGGAGGTGTCAGCTGACCAGAGAAATCTGAACTGTGGGCCATGGTGGGGGAGTGATTAGGGCGCAGTACTGCAAGCTACTTTTGCTGCTTGATGGCTGCCTGCAGTTTGGCAGTTCGAATCTCACCAGACTCAAGGTTGACTCAGCCTTCCAGCCTTCCGAGGTGGGTAAAATGAGGACCCAGATTGTTGGGGTCAAGAGGCTGACTGTGTAAACGGATTAGAGAGGGCGCGAAGCGGGATAGGCAGTAAGTCTAAGGGCCATTGCTATTTGGATAGGCTGCTTCTTTCCACAGGACAGTAGAGCAGGCTGCGCAGGTGGCCCCTCTGGGCCCAGGGCTGCCCAAGATGACCTACTTTGTGATCCGTCCACCCCATCTTCTATTCAGGAGGTTAAAGAGGCGGTGCTTCCCCTACCTGCACGGAGGCTGAGTTTCTGTGGTCTCCCCAGGCCCAGCCCTGCCCTCCAACACCTTTGTGGGTAATGGATTAACCTGTGGTAGTGGCTAAAACCCCAAAGGAATTTGGTAGCAGCTTTTCTGACTCTCGCATTTTATGGCAGAATTGGCAGAAACTTTCATGAATTTCCTCTCCTCCCGCAACCATATTTGGGAATTAGAAAAGATTTCACTGGGCTCCTCCTCCTGAGGGGAAGGCAAGGCTTCCGTCACTGCAGTGGCTGAGAAATTGGATTGAGACAGGCAGCCTGCAGAAATGGAAAAAAACAGGCCCATAAATAAAATGAGGGGGGCTGATGGAAGGCTCCCTGGCCAGTCTGGCACATTGGCACTGCTGCATGGCAGGCAGCACCCGGGCTGGGGCTGGTAGCAGGCACCTTCCCAACCCCTTACCAGGCTGCCCTCTTGTGGGGAGGGGGTCTGGGACCCTTAGAGTCCTCCTTATCATCAAGCCCCAGGCAGCAAAACTTTTTCTCCGCAGTGGTGAATGAAAAGGTGCAAGAGTCCAAAGGATGCCTGAGGGGGCTCTCTTGGTCTTCAGACATCCTCCCCCACACCTTTTGATCACCCCCCCCCCCCAAAGCAGGCTCCCTTCCTATTCTGCTCTTTCATGGAAGCCTTCCCTCTTCCCTTTCCTCCCTCCTTTCCCTTTCCTCCTCCCTCCCTCCTTCACTTTCCTTCCTTCCTTCCCCACTCCAGCTCCCTCCTGCTGGAATGAGCTCCCTTTGGTGGCAGGCAAGGAACAGGTCCGGCAGAATGAAGGGGTGCTGCAGCTGCGGAAGAGCTGCTCTCTGGGTGTGCCTCTTTTCTGGAAATATCACCTCTGCCCTGCCTGCTCTGGGGCCTTTGATGTGGGTCAGCCCCACCCCATTCCCCATTTCCTTGTTTTGCTGCTCTAATTGCATCTGGGTGGGGGACCACCCAGGAATTCCCGGGTTGTGGCTGGGAAGCATCAGCCACAGTGCCCCCCCCCCCGAGCTGCAGGGAGGCTCCCCTCACCTGGAACATTCCGGTCCTTCCTTTCCAGGACTAGGACTGGCTCCTGCCCAGGCTGAGCATCGTTTGGGGCTGCTGGTCAGCTTTTTGCTGCTGATCTTCCCCCATAAACACAACACACACACCATGAACCCCAAAGAGACCTTTCTGGGATGGCTCCCAGCCCCATCCCTTCTCCTGTGGGTTGGGGATGTTCAGCTTAGGAAAGGCAGAAACAGGCAGGAAGATGGTTAAAATGGCACAGCCCCCTCCAATATACAACGGGTGAAGGACTTCCCCCCCCCCCCCCCCATGGGACAGCCTGCCAGAAAGCCTCTTCTTGCAGGAGCTTCTCAGAAGGGAGGTTGGGGAGCAGCTGCTGCCAGCCAGAGATGGCATTCAGGGTGATGGGCTGCAGCACCTGAGGGACGCCTCTCCTTGGGCCACACTGGCTGGGGCCCCCACCGGAAGATGTAGCTGAGCTCAGGGTGGCCCAGACACATTCCCCAGGAGGGGGTCAAAGGCTGGATGGTGAGAAAGGGGGCGGGGCGGGGGGCTGGAAGACGCAAGCAGGCTTTGCAGCAGTGGGGGGCTCTCCCTGCACCCCCTGGCCTGAGAGAAATCAGCCCTCGATTTGCAGACGGGGGGGGGGGGGGGGGGGGGGGGGGGAGAAGGGGGTGTCAGGGGTTTGTTGCCTTGTGAAACAGTCTGTTTAGTTTTGCTCTCTGCCAATAAAAAGTGGATGTGGATAACTGATTTGTTGCTTCCTCTTTTCAAGATTCCGGCATGCGTCCTCCCGCTGGCCAGCCCCCCCCCCCCCCCCCCCCCCCCCCCCCCCC